TGTAAAATATTTTTTTGATATTTTTTGTAGATTCGTCTATTTTTGATGAACACACTTTCCAAATTTCAGGTCATTCTTATTTGTAGGAAAAAAAATGAAAAATAAAACACTACCAGATAATTGTGATCGTGCGATGAACTTTGGACGGTGATGAGGGTAGGCGAAATCACTGTTCAATTTTGCCTATAAGCGTTTTGTAGTATCTTCCATATATATATATATGAAGCTATTACGCAATGCCTATGGGTGAAAATGAACAGTGTTTTCGCCCATAAGCTCGACGCCGTCCGATTTTTTCGGACGGCATAGATTAAAAGACCGAAATGGACAATTGACTTACTATGTCCGTTGTGGTAAAAAAACCCATGGCAACCGCCATTGATAATGTTTGTTGCAGCTATGTTCAATAAATCACTATCAGAATTGTAATCTTTTTTTTAGAAATCAGATCGTGATGAAATTTTGGGTATGTGTACTAAAAACTAGGATGTATAAGAAAAATTATAAAAAAATATTTTTCAAAATCTAAAATGACCAAAATAGCCTTAAAAAATGATGGGGGTAAGTTGATTATTTTAAATTCTTGAAAGTATTCTTTTTATATTTTTATATGGTATGCAATAGTGTCAAGTATATACACTCAATTTCATCTCAATTTGATTTATAAAAAAAAGATTATTCAGATAGTGATATGTATTTTGAACCACTTGATGAAGATTTGACGGTTGAAATTCTACCTATATTATTGTTCACTATAGCTGTCAAGTGTTTGGTAGCTTTATATATATATATATCCAAAAATAACTAATTCATGTATGATTATATCTAGTTTATGAATGGGATTCCTTTACTTTTTGAGTCATCATTGAATCTGAAGAGTAATTTAAAAATATAAATATAGGTTTTTAAAATGTTCAAATAAACCATTATCAATGTAATTTTGAAATTTGAGAAGAGCATTAGGTCTAAATTTTTCTTGAGTCTGAAATCTCAAGTTCACCATTAGAGTGTGTATATATACTACCTATGTTTTAAACCAAGGAGCCATGATATTTGCATACTGACTGGAACTGTGGTCTTGTATAATGAAGTGGGCTCATCTACTGGACGTCTCACACGGAATGAAGCATGCCTTTATGAAGCAAAGAAAATTGCATCCATCCTTCAACTCTCAATTTGTGTTGATGTTCCTTTGATTGAATGTAAAGCGGGAGCTCTCCTCAAGCTTCACTCTTGTAAATGGTTTATATTTAAATTGCATGCTCATCTATTTTTGGGATGCTTAGAAGGATATATGAGGTCAGGTATTCTCTTGTTTTAGGCCTTCCTTGGATTTGGTTTGGGTGGAAATCTCCCTCAATAGCTGCATGAGATGTGTTGCCCCCATGGTGCCCTTATAGAGAGAAATGTTCTTTCCAAATCATCCGCAAGCCTCCATTAATGGCCTACATTCAAAAGGGAAGGTTAACGATTTTCTTTCTAGGTTCAGTGGTAGGAATTGAGCTTGAGATATAGTGCTGCTAATTGTCCACTGCTAACCACTCGAGCTCAAGTTCGATTCTTGGAAATGCACACTTTCGGCAGGTGAGGGTCAAACAAAAGAGGGGCTAGTATGAAATTGGCTTATGTTAGGACTAGTATATACAAATCATTTTATTTGATGGGATTGTATACATCAAATGCTGAATGGGACAGCTTTGGGTGTGTTACACAGTTCGATGGTATTTTTATTTGAATTTTGAGCTTAGTTAATGACACACCCCCAGCTTCCCCATTTTCAAATATAGAGATAATCTTTGTAACAAAGATATAATCTTATCCTATGATTTTATTTTTATTTTTATTTTTTTTAATGGAGTTTAGAATTGGGTGCATAAGACGTTGGGCTCGCCTTTCTGGTTTGGAATTTAAAATTGAAAATATCCATTTTGAATGTAAAACTGAAAGTTTCTTTTGGTGGATGTCATGGAAAGCATTCTACATCAACTTCCTGTAGAGCAAAAAGTGGAATAAAATCTCCATTTGTGTAAAAGAAAATGGAAATAAATTTAGTAAAGTAAAAGAGGACATACCATGCATTGATGAAACCGTGAAATTGCGACTGCGCAATAAACAACATGATATAAGCCCAACTGCGGATCATAAATTAATGCAAGGGTCACGAATCTTGTTAGCAGCACTCGGGGATGAGGAGCCTCACAAAAGGGCAACACCAAAAATATATTACAAATGTCTTGGGTCAATCCTTCCTTGGTGTGGTCAAGATAATTAATCACAGAAGGTGGCGAGCTGGTTTCAATTCCAGTTCCAAAAGTTCTCTTTTAAACGTTATCAAACAGGCTTGTTCAAAGCAATTGAACAACAAACAACAGTATAAAAGGTTAGGAAAGTTCACGGAAGAATTGGACAATATTTGTGGAATTACATAATGATCTATTTTTTGCAAAATTTACATTGTTGTGCTACTTTTTTACTTTTTTTCCCCAAATTCTTCCCCGGTCTGATGTTTGCAATATTGACTGTTTTTTATTTCTTTTTTTTTTTTGAATTGTGGGGCTTTCTGAGAGCTTAGAGGTCAATTAGCAATATGATGTTAGAAATATCGGACTGCTTAAAATTGAGTTGTTTGATATTTCAAACATTGGACAACCCCATTGTAAGCATTCCCTGTTTTGGATCAATATGATGTTTCACACATTAGACTCCCTTCTATTATTCTGTTTAGTCATATGATGTTCAAACACTGGATTGCTTTTTGTCATATTATTAAAGATTGTCGGTCCAATGTTTGAACATCGGACTGGCTTGATCACCTAAAAAGAGGACAACCTATTGATTTTGATACAAGAGCTAACGTTTATGAGGACGGATGATTCTAAAACTCCTGCCCACCATAAGGCCATGTTACTGCAAGTACTAATGGTAATTTGGATCTCCACCTTTTATTTGATCAAGAGCCTGTAATGGACCCCAAATTTTTTCCGTTCTATAATTTAAAATGTCCAATGACTAAAACATTGGATTGGCCAATTCATATCCACCATGCGGGATGATTGGTTGTTCTGATGCTTTCAATATTAGACCGCTTTGAAAATAGGTCGGTTTAATCTTTGCAGCATAAGATTGCCTAAGAAACAATAATAATAGTAAAATACAATAAAAAAATCAGCATAAGACTGCCTCAGAAACAATAAAAATAATAAAATACAATAAAAAATCTCTAACGTTTACAACATCAGATTAGTAGCAAAATTGAAATAAAAAACAACCATAAAGAGCAACCCTAGTGAAAAGTTTAGAAAATATGGACCTTTTGTAATACCAATTTTTTTTTTTTATAAATATCCCAAAAGTTTAATTTTCCACCCTATAATCGATTCGGGGGTGTCTTGCATGAGATAGAGTGGTTTGGGATGTACAATCTCATGTCTACGAGCTGGGATAAGTGGTCTTTGCATTCTATCCATAAAAGGGGTGGGGGAATGTTAGTCCCAATACAAAAAAATAATACCAAAAATAATAATTAAAAATAAATAAATGAATACATAAATAAATAAATAAATAAATAAATAAATAAATAAATAAATAAATAAATAAATAAATAAATAAATAAATAAATAAATAAATAAATAAATAAATCAATGAACAACTTGGATTTGTCCTTAAATCACATAAAAGATTTAAGGTTCCATGTCAAATCCTATAGACCAAGCCATCTGAAGACATGCAACCTTGAGAAATCATTTTTTGGTGAATTTCATTCACCTTGTATATTTCTTTCATCCTTCTCTATCTTTTCTGTCATTTTCCTTTTGAGGGGTTAACCTCTTTTTATAGAGAACATGTTTATTTTGTAACTCTAACATTCATGATCTATAGGAATTGAGATTCAAGTGTAATGCATGTCATAATTCCTTTTAGTGCAGCTAATTAGGATTAATAAGTTTTCACTAAATTTTTAATCCTATGTAATGAGCTACACTTGTCATTAGTCTATTAATGACTCACATAATAGGATGTGATTTAAGAATTCCTACAATTTGATAAAAAGACATTGAGAAATTAAATAAACTTTGTACATCTATAACATAGGAACAATTTTTTTTTAGAAGAAATACAAACGCACCACCGAGCTTTTCCTACAGAGACTGGGTTGTCCCTCCAGTGCTACATACCATTAAAGTTAAAAATAACAGATCCAAATATACATCATTTTTTCGTGTTAAGCACATGGGATTTTACATATACTACAATATGACTTTTATATACCATTATTGAAAAACAAATTCTAAGGAGAAAGGTTTGATAAGCCACTTTTCTTACAGGGAAGTCTTTTTCCTTCAATTGTATGGCTGGCAACCGAGCACTACCACTGTATGGCTTGCAATCAAGCAGTACCATTGCAATAGACCCAAAAGTTAATACCAGCCCCAATGGGACCTAACACACATGACTATTATCGTGGCCACGGTTAGGATTGCCAATGGTTCAGGTTGGGCCTCGAGCTTTCAGGTTGGGTTCAGGCCAAATTTAGGCTTTGGGATGGACCAGGTTGTTTAAGAAAAGCCTGTTAGTCTCATGTCCGTTGGGGTTGTACTCTGAGTGGCCCATACTCGGCCCGAGGGCCCGAACTTTCCATATACAGTACATCTCCCCTGCCTCTCTCTTTCTCTGCCTAAAAGCCCAAACATTTCATCCAATGCATCCGGTGTTGCTTCTCTCTCTCTATTAAACCTTCGATTACACCTTCTCGTACTGCTCTTTCTTTCTCTCTCTCTTATCTCGAAAGTTAAAAGTTAGTTTCCCATCTATCTCTCTCCTTTGTAAATTGTCTAGAATCCTCCAGGCATTGGGAGGATTATTCATTGAGTAATCACCGCATCAACTCGATCTCACTAACAACTGAACTCTTACATTTCATAAAAATCTTTTGTACTCGGTATTCTCTTGTCTCTCATCCTCAAGCTGTTCATGAAATTCAAATCTTTTATCGACAATATTAAGTTTGGTGACAGTCAAAATCACTCTGCCTGTGTTTTCTTCTAAAGAAGTAACACTCATCCTTTTAAGGCAACCATGGGAAGTGATTTCCAAGAATCTCTCCAAGAGAGAGAGAGAGAGTGGGGCATGACCTCCTAGAGAGAGGTGGTATTCCCATATAAATTTGAATTGATTAAGTTTCCACTTTTAGAGACAAAAAATCTCTCGATTGCTATCAAAGTGCTCTTTTTTGTAGCAATATAGTGGTGGGAAAGATGAGGTAGATCAATGGTGTTGCACAATCGAGACAAGGGGCTTAGAAAGGGAAGATCATTGAGGTTCTTATCGATGTTTAGATAAAGGTATTATCTCTTATATCCAAAGGGAAGAACGTTGAGGTTCATATCCATGTTTAGAGATAGGTATTATCTCTTGAACCCAAAATTGTAATATTCATAGTAGATTTCTATTTGCCATGGCCATGGATATACCCATACAAGTTGAATCACATAAATGTTGTTTCGTCGTGATTTGATTTCATGTTTTTTTTTTATTTCATTGACTAGATTTACGGTTTTGTTCATCTCGTTTGCATTTGGCAAACAATGTACATGAACATAGTGAAAGAAAGACTAATGCGATCTTGCCGGGCAATATATATATATATATATATGGAAAATGATCCTATGAGTCAGTGAGCTTACATGAAAAAAAGAGCCTAATGACCCAGATTGAATCTGGACCGATCTGACGATCACATATTCTCGGTAGTATATGAATTTTAATTTTTTTTTTACAAATTCAAATCACTTAAAATTTTACGTGTATGTTCTCCTCATCAAGCCTCACCTAATAAAAATATAAAACGATAATCTAAAAAATTAAAATGACCAAAATAGCCCCAAAACTTTACGATATTTTGATCAATTTTTTTTATGTAAAATATTTTTTTTGATATTTTTTGAAAATTCAACTATTGTTTATGAACACATGTCTAAAATTTTAAATGATTTGGATTTGTAAAAAAAAAAATTAAAATTCAAACACTACCGGGTATCTGTGATCGTCAGATCGGCCCAGATTCAATATGGGCCGTTGGGCTCATTTTTACTTGTGAGTGTACTAGCTCACAGGATCATTTTATATATATATATATATATATGTACACACTTAATGTTATTTATTTCATAAACTCTAGGCTTATTTATGAAGGTAAATTTTTCCTCGTGTCCCTCAATGTTAGCCTCAATACCAGTACCATCAATTTTGATAAGGTAAAGCATATTTAGGAATGGGGTTCCAAGAATAAGTTAGCTTAATCCTTTAACCATGATAAAAGA